GGGGGGAGGGGCAGGGGCAGGGGTCAGCACCCCTAGCCCCTGCCCCTGGCCCAGCATACAGCCTACCCCTCCCTGTTTCTGTGCAGGCTGTTCCAAGCTCAGTTCCTGTCACCCCAATGGGGGCACTGGGCAGACCCTGGCCAGCCCCTCCCCAGCACAGGAAGCCCCATCTACTTCAATGGGTCATGCCAGGGTCCAGTGTCACTGACGGGGCTGCTCCTGCCCTGCCATTCTCCCCTACTCATGCTTGGCCAGGCGCACCTGGGTGCCAGTGTAGTAGCGGTTGTTGCTCCGAATGGCTGAGGTCTTGAGGGAGCTGAGGGTGGCACCAGGGGGGCTGCGCAGGCAACAGGACGCGTGGCGCAGGCACTTGCTGAACTCCCGGTGCACCTGTGGGGGTGGCAGCAAGGGAGGATGGGAGGTCAGTATCCAGCCTGGCTCCCCCAGCACTCAGTCCTGACCTGCAGCCACCTGCCCACAACTCTCAGCTGTCACTGCCCCTCACTCCCGACCTGCAGTCCCCCAACTCTCACCTTCTTCTGCAGGGCACAGTGGAACACAAAGATGAACATGCCCTGGAAGGCATTGAAGGTGGTGAAGAGATAGGCCATGACGATAGACTCCTTGTTGATGAAGAGGAGGCCGAAGGCCCATGTAAGCCCCAGCAGGAAGAGCAGCGCGATGGCTCCCAGTGCCCATGACCTGTGGGCAGATGCATGCCATTTGCCAGGGTTCTCTCTGCTGTGCCCCACAGGGAGGCACCCACCTGTGGGGTTGCGCGTGGGGCTAAGTATAACAGGGCCCCCCTCACCGACTATCAATGTGCAACCAATTCTGGGGGGTGGGGGTATGGGACTGGGCATAACAGGGACCCTCAGCCCAGCACAGGGATGCAGCCATGTCTGGAGGGTGGGGGGCAGGTGGTGACTGAGCCAGGCACCTCTCCTCCAGCACCAAGATGCAGCCACCGCTAGGATACACTGGGGCTGCCTGATGCTGAGATACAGCCTCCTCTGGGGCAAAGCATGGGGCTGTATACATAGGGGCACCCCTGCCACATGCTGAGATGCAACTGTTTCTGGGGTGGAGACTGGGACTGCTTTTACAAGGACCCTTTGGTGGGTGCCAAGATGCAGCCAGCTCTGGGGTGGAGCAGGGGGCTGTGCGTACAGGGACCTGGGCTGGGGGCTGCGCTACTGGGTCAAGCCAGGTCCTACCCCCCACCTCCCCCCCAAGCAGGTCACTGCAGCAGCAGGGGGTCCTTCTCTACCCCTACAACACACAGTCTCCCCCTCCTCACTTGATATTGTCCAGGCGGCTGGAGTCAGGTTTGAGCACAGACGTGTTGCGGATCATCTTGTGCAATGTCACCATGAGGAACACGAGGTTCACCTTGCGGGGAGAAGGAAGTGAGGGTGAGAACTTGCCCTTGACAGTGCCCTTGTCCCTGTCCCCCCCGCAAGATTTTTAGCCCCTGAGACCAACCTCCATCACTGGTGGGGCCCCCTTCCCAGTGCCTGGGGCATAGACCCCTCCAAGAGAGCCTGGGGGCATGTCGACATGTATTAATACGCTTTAGTTAATACACATTACATTTAGTACTTCCGTTGTGAGGTACTAAGAAAATGTGCATTAGCTTGTCTTAATGCACATTAACTAAATACCATGGGGTTTTTTAGTGATACTTTAATGCCCATTAAAACAGGCTACTATTGCACATTAAAGCGCATGTGTAGACACGACCTGGGAGAACTAGCCCCCTCCCCATCACTCCCTTGCACTTTGCCAGGCTAAGGAGAGAGCTTTCAAGGGGCCTGGCAGCCCACATGCCTGGGTTCTATCCCTGCTCTGAGAGAGAAGTGGGATCTGGGGGCCAGAGCAGAGGGCTGGCAGCCTGGACGCCTGGGTTCCCTATGATGGGCACTCACCACGATGACGAAGGAAACAGGCCCGATGAAGCTCCAGATGAAGTAGTTATCCACACGGAGCCAGCAGCTGGGGGCATTCAGGGAGAAAGGAGGGGGTGAGTCACTGCCCCCCGCACCAGGTAGAGTAGAGCAGGGCAGGGCAGGGCAGGGCAGGGCAGATTGGGTACGAGTCCTCATCCACTGCAGCTGTTGGCAAAGCCCTGGTGTCCCCAGCCTAAGTGGCCTCCAGGGCCATGCCCTATGACCCCCACTGCCCCCCTGCACTGCTCCATTGCTGCTCCACCCAGTCACCCACCCCCATCCCATCAGTATCCCACACTCACATTCTTTCACTGCCCCTTGCCCACCATGCTCTTCCCTTGCTCATGCCCTCAGTGCCCTGCCCTGTCCCCTGCTCACACCTTATCAGGGTCCCGTCCCCTCCCTGTGCCACACCCCACCACCTTTTCCTGTGCCTGCTGCAGGCCTTCCTCAGGCCTTGTTGGTACACCCTGAGCCACACCCCTTCCCCACAGCCATAGGCAACTCATGGAGGGGGCACGTGCTCCCCCTGAGATTGGCCACCGCCACCAGCTTCTGCAGGCAGTTGCCACTCCCCACCCCACCGCCAATGCTTATGCCCACAGATTGTGCCCCCCTAGTCTCGGGAGGCACCAGTCATTCATGCTCACAACACCTCCCCATGCCCTGCCCCTGCTCACGCCTTGTCAGTGCCATAGCTGCGGTAGTCAATGGCGGCGGCGGTGCCCACAACGAGTGCAGGAAAGCAGTAACCACCCAGGTAGTAGTATTTGCGACGTGAGGCCTCACTCTCAAACACCTCGACCAGCAGCAGGTAGAGGTGGACACCCTCCAGGCACAGCCATGAGAAGGCTGCCAGGAAGAAGTAGTGCAGCAGCCCTGCCAGGATTGGGCAGGCCACCTGTGGGCACCAGGAAGGTGTCAGCCAGGAGGTGGCCACCTCTGGGGGGGCAGGGCAGTCAAGTATAACAGGGACCCTTGGCCTAGCACCAAGATGCAACCACCTCTGGGGTCAGGCATGTCTGGGGCTGGCTATATGGGGTGCTCTCACCCAGGGCTGAGATGCAGCCACCTCTGGGGCAGGGCGAGTTGGACGGCCGGGTATAACAGGGACTGCCCACCCAGCACTGGGTGCAGCCACCTCTGGGGTGGGGTGTGAGAGGCTGGTCATACAGGGACCCTCCCCCAGGGTTGAGCTGCAGCTGCCTTGGGTGGAGTATGTGGGGGCTTGCTGTACAGGGACCCTTCATGGAAACTCCCACCCAAGTCCTTGCCATGTGGTGCCCCACTCATGCTGCCCCGGTGCCCAGGAGGGGAGGGTACCCCCACTGCAGGCATGGTGCCCACCTCGTACTGTGTCTTGTCAATGCCAACAAGGAAGAGGAGCTCAGCGAGAAAGAGGCTGATGCAGAGGTTCTTGTGGATGGTGGTGCGGTCAGTCTGCAGCCCCCGCAGGAAGCAGAAGGTGGAGATGCAGATGGCCAGGCAGACCAAGGCGATGACAGCGCCCACCCATGTGATCACCGACAGTAGCAGCTCCTTCATGCGGCCCTGGTACTGCCAGGGAGGGAGGGATGGGGCAGGGGGTTGCCAGGCTGGCACTGCACCCCACAACCCCAACCAAGGCCCTGTTCCCTAGCAGCCCCGACCAGGGCTCTGCCCCTTTATCATCTGGTGGGGGGGAGGGGGAGGGGGCACAAGGGGGTGTGGTAGGATCTGGAGGCAGTGGAGAGAGGTCAGAATACAGGACAGTTATATAGGGCAGTAAGGGAACAAGGGACATGAGGCCATGGGGGAGGGGCAGGTGATATAAGGCCAGGGGTGTTATAGGGTCATGGAAGGGTACATGGTCATGAGGGGGAAGGAGTGCAGGGCAGGGGGTTCCTTACAATCTGGCGGTGGGCCATGAGCACAGCAAAGTTGGTGAGGTGGCTGCAGGCGCAGGTGGTATGGGTGCGGTTGGTGCCCAGCAGCCGGCAGCCCTGCGTGGACCAGGCGCCCATCATGGAGCGCTCCGAGTAGTTCCAGAACGAGCAGTTGGCATTGAAGTGGTTCTTGGCCTGCAGGACAGGATGGGGGTGGGTTAGCGAGGTGGGGGGGGAATTATTAGCATGTCCTGTGGCCAGGGTCTCAGAGCCCCAGGGACGGGCAGATGTACCTCGAGGTGGGCAAGGGTAAAGATGACAGGGTCCATGAGGAAGACACGGCTGGACTCTTTGTTGATGGAGGCGGCAATGACCTGGGAGTTGACGACAAGGGCGGGGCTGAGGGCACCCGCATCCCCGCTCAGCTTCACTGTGGCATTCTCCGTAGACAGAAACAGCCCCAGGTTGTTGTACAGAATGAACACCACCTTCACCACACCTGCGGGGGCAGGGCTGTTAGCTCCTCCCCTGGCCCCACCCCTTTCCTGCAGCCCCACCCACTGGACCCTCCTGCTTCCACCACGCCTGGGGTGGGGGAGGAGGAGGGCTGTAAGTCCCATGCCCCAGCTCCACCCTGAGGCCCCCAGCTTCCCCATGTGTGCAGGGGGGCAGGACCATGAGCTCTGACTCGCCATCCCTCCCCCCAGGGCTTCCAGCCCCACCCCCAGGACCCTGAGCCCCAGCCCCACTGACCGTTGCGGCTGTTCTGCTTGATGGTGTTGGCTGAGAGCTGGATGGAGTTCTCGCCCCCCAGCTCCTGCGGGAAAACCAGCTCCTGCACCTGCCCCTCCGTGTTCAGCACCGTCACCTCCAGCACTTGGGGGGAGGGGGAGAGGGAAGAAGGGCATGAACAGCGACGCACACAGCACACATCCCCCGTGCACATGCATATTACGTGTGTGTTGCTATGCCTCAGTCTGGCACATGCCCATGCTACACACATGCATAGTGCCTCCAACTGCCAGAAGTGTGTTCTAAGGACATGCTCATTGCATACTGCATTGATACCCTCCCAGAACCAGGGGCATCCACCCTATGGACACAAGAGGCAGTGGTGGGGGGAGCCGAGCCAGGTGAATGCCCCAGAGCAGGGAAGGGAAAAGACAGGGACAGCCCCCAGCCCAGCCCCCTACCAAGCTGTGGGGGGCCACTTCAGCCCTGGCATGAGGGGCCTCTGTCACCTTGGGGAGCTCAGACTCTAGGGGCATGGGCACTTGGGGAAGCCCTGCCTTTCCTGGCCTCCATCCCTGGGAATGCAGGTGTCCAGGTGGCAGGGAGCAGTCTCACCTACCTGCTACCCTCCTCCCTCATGCCCTGTGCAGGTGTGGACCCTGGGTCTAGTAAGGCTCCAGGCTGCCTGTGCCCTCCAGCCTGCTCCCACGTAAGAGTGTTGACCCAGGTGTCTGGGGAGGCTGCTGGCTCTCTGTCCTCCTTGCTCCACATGAAAGCAGACGCAGGCATCCAGGGGAGCCCAACCTGTCCCATCCCCACCCATGGGCAGGGACCCTGGTGTCTAGGAAGGCCCCAGGCTGCCTTCCACTGCCCCATGAGACCAGACCCAGGTATCTGGGGAGTTCCAGGATGTCCCATTGCCCATCCCTGCTCCCATGGGCAGGGACCCCAGCATTCAGGGGAGCTCCAGGCCATCTCCCAATGAGGCTCACCAACGTTCTGGCGGGAGGTGACAAAGCGGGCGGGCTCCTTGACATTGTCGGCCAGCAGGAAGGCACCCTCCTCCAAGATATCCAGCAGCATGGTAGCTGTGTGCACCTGTTCTGTCCCGTTCATGTCCTTCCACGACTCCAGCGCCTCAGGCCGCAGAAGGTTGTCCACCGTCTCCACCACCGCCTGAGGGGGGCACGGACTGGGGTCAGCCATGGTGGTCCCAGGGGATACCACAGCCTCTCCTGACCCTGGGCAGATGGAGCCAGAGCAGCCCTCAACCAGTGTGATGGGCTGGGTATGCTCCCCATCCCCCCACAAGGCCCTCTATACCCCCTTGTGTCACCCACTTTGGTCTTGTGGCACCCTTCTACCTTCCCCCCCTCACCTTGATGTAGTCTTTGCAGGTTCGCTCTCTCTTATGCATCTGCAGGACAGAGGAGAGGAAGGTCATGGCCTGATCCTGGGGGCCCCAATCCCAGGGGGACAGCCCTAGGTGGGATGTGGAGACCACTCCTGCCATCCCAGATCACGGCCTGCTGCCCTCAGCGGGCAGTAGCCCATACCAAGCTGGTGACCCTAGGTACTAGCCAGTCACCACTAGGTCAGCACTGAACCAGGGAGGAACTAGCAATAACTAGCTGGTACCTGACATATAACTATTAGGTAACCAGCAAACCAACTAGCAATAATTACTAGATAGCAGCTGTTCACTGACCTATAAGTAGTCGGTAAGCAGCCAATCGGATACTAGCCAACAAGCCAGTAAATCACTAACTAGCCAGTGTACAAGATAGCATGAGATACTAGTACTGGTAGGCAGCTTAGCTGCAGGGTAACAAGTTAACAACCAGTAGGTAACACATCAATAACTAATCAGTTACTAGTAGGTAACTAGTTAATAGGCATCTGTGTTATAACTATTTGATCAGCACTGGCTAACTACCTGATAATTTGTAGATAAGTAGTGGTTAACTAGATGGTAGCAAATAAGCAAACATGTAACTGATAACCATTAGATAAGTAGTGGATAGCTAGCTGAGCTGGGGATAGAACCCAGGTGTCCAGGCTCCCCTCCCTCCATTCTAACTCCCCCAGACCCTTTTCCTCTCCTAGAGCTAGGATAGAATCCAGGTGTCTGGGCCCCCCCGGCAGACCCCATTCCCTTTGCAGAGCTGGGATAAAATCCAGGTGTCTAGGCTCCCAGGCCCCACAGCTCTAAACCCTTAGGCCCCATTCCCCTCCCAGAGTGGGGACAGAACCCAGGCATCGGGGCTCCCAACCCCTCCAGGCCCCACTCCCCTCCTGGACCAGGGATAGAACCCAGGGTTGAGGCTGCCAAACCCCCTGCACCAGCACCTTGTTGTAGTTCTTGCCAGCCGACTCGCGCTCGATGGGCCGCAGTGCCTGGAGCTGTGCATCCAGGATGTCGAGCAGCTGCTCCATGAGTCGCACTGATGAGCTGACGTCGCCAGCGTAGATGGGCCCACGCGTGTGGCGGGCCAGTTCACCTGCGATGTTCGCCGCATTCTCCCCGCTCTTGATCTGGGGGCACCACGGGCAGACACACACACACAGACAGGTGCAGACACACACATGCATGCACACAGATAGACAAACCCACATGAGCACATGCACACACACAGGCACGCACACAAAGAAAGATACAGAAACACATGCACACAGAGACAGACACAGGCACGCACAAACACACCAGCAGCTCAGTACTGGGTGCAGGGACCAGCCATGATCCCCCAGGGACCTCCCCCCAGGCCCAGCAGGGCACCAACCATGACCCCCTGCCCCTCCTCAGGCTTCAGCACGGACCCCACTTCCCCTGGGACAAGCTGTCCCCCATCCCCAGCAGGACAAAGACAATAACCCCCAACACACTCGCCCCAGACTCCATCAAGGACCAGCAACACCCCTGGAGGGGACAAATGGTACCTCGCTGACCGCCCCATTGGGACTGTGCTCCACCCCCCACCCCCAGGGCAGGGGCAGGGGCAATACCTTCTGGGCTACCTGGTTGACCCAGGGGCTGGTGCAGTTGCTGAGGTCAGGACCACGCGGGTTCCAGATCCCCAATGAGGGCAGGCACTGGAAGGAGGCGATGCCTGCGGGGGGGGGGGAGTAGGGCAGGATGAGACCCTTGCACCAGCCTGGACACCCCCTTCCCTCCATCTGGGGACCCCTGGTGGAGAACACAAGCCCTCACTACTGCCTTGCAGGGAGCTGTCAGCCATGAGGGGTCAAGAGAGGGCCTGGAGAGAACCCAGGTGTCCTGGCTCCCTGCTCCTCCAGCTCTAATTATTGGATCCCAGATGCCAATTATTTCCAAGACCTGGGAGAGAACCCAGGTATCCAGGCTCCCAGCCCTTTCTGATCTAACCCATTAGACCACTCTCCTCTCCCAGGGGTGGGGACAGAACCCAGCCTCCCCTCCCCTGCCCAGAGCTGAGATGTAACCCTGGTGTCCTGGCTCCCAGACTCCTTCTCTCCACAGAGCCAGGTGAGGACCCTGGTATCCAGGCTTCCATCATCTACTCCTGTCCCAGAGATGGGAGAGAACCCAGGTGTCCTGGCTCCCCACCTTCAAGGGCATCCAAGGCTCCCACTGCCCTCCCTCTGAGCTGGGCCAGAATCCCAGTATCCTGGTTTCCCCCTGCCAATCCCGGTCGGCCCCCGCCCCCCTCTCCCCCATGAGGGTCCCTAGCATCCAGACCCACCTCGAGTACCCTTGGGGCAGGGCCGTTCAACCAGCATGCCCTGCTGTGTGGCAGGCCACTGGACACGGCGCACCTCGCGGGGCTCGCAGAAGAGCTCGGGGGCACTGTGCTGGCCAGGGGCAGGTGGGCGGCGTGTACTCGGGGCTGCAGCCGTGACTGTGGCAGGTGCTGGCTCTGTACCCTTCTGGTTGCTAGCACCACCAGGGTGGGTAGTGAGTGGGGCCCGGCGCGCTGTAGTGCTGGCTGCTGGTGCTGCTGTGGTTGTGGCTGGTGTGGGCCGTGCTGGTGCCACTGTCGTGCTGGGTGGTGTTGAAGTCACTGGGCCTGTGGAGAATGGCAGGATCAGGGAACACTGGCAGTTCCCCCACTCCTGGGTCTCCCTGTAACTCTCTCCAGCCTGGCCCTGGCCCCCAGATCACCACCTGAGACCCCCATAGCTCCCCCCAGCCCAGCACTGGCCCGTCTGGGTTCCTCCATCACCCCCCTGAACCCCATTACCCCCTGCCTTACCTTGGTCCCTGGACACCCCATCCTAGACACCCCCATCATTCCAATGCCCCCATTTCCTTGGTCCCCTCTCTCTACATGCCCCTGCCTTGCTGCAGGGCTCCCTCCCCAAGGTGCAGTGTCTCCTGCCTGAGTGACTAGACCCTGTTCCCCTCCCAGAGCCAAGGACAGGCCCCAGGCGTCCTGTCACCTGTAGCAGAGCCCAGAAGCCAGGTCTCCTGTTCACTGCACTACCCGTAGCTGATCCCAGAACCCCAGTGTCCGGCTCCACCCCCCCTCACCAGCACTAGGATCAGGGGGCCCAAACTGGAGGGCGTAGCGCACGACAAAGTAGTTGTTCCACACGTAGAGCTGGTTGTCGCGGGGGTTGTAGTCCACAGATGAGACGAACTGGTAGGGGTTGGGGAAGGCTAGGCCCACGGGCTCCTCACGGTTGGCATTGGTGTTGAAGGCGTAGTCCACGCGGTTGCCGGCTGCCTCACTGTCATCGTCCACATAGACGCTGCGCACCACATACAGCACGCCACATGCCATGAAGGCATTAGAGGCCGCCCGTTTGTCGTAACCCGTCTCCCAAGTGCCCTCGAAGCGCAGTGTGTAGGGGTTGAGCTGGCTCACCACCAGGCGCCCACTGTTGGCCTCGGTGGCATAGATGACCCACAGCCCGCTTTCGTCCACAGCCAGGTCGATATCAGTCTTGCCGCCCCAGCGATAGGGCGAGGTGTCATGGTAGTTGGCTGTGGCAATGACAGTTTCACCACTCTTGATGCGTGTGCGCAGGTCATACTTAACAATGTTGCGCGTCCGCTCCTTGTTGTAGAAGACAGCACCATCATACACCACAAAGCCAGTGCCATCCACACGGTTGGGCAAGCGGTAGGTGGTGGTGTGGCGGGCACCCACATAATCATCCCACGAGGCGTACTCGGTCAGCGTGTCCGTGCGGTATGGCACCCATGGCATCACGTAGATGCGGTCACCCGCTTGCAGTGGGTCCTTGCACCACGCCCCTGCCTGGTGCTCCGACTCATGCGTTGATGTGGCCTCCAGCACCTTCTGTAGCGTCCCCGGGCACACGAAGACTGTGGGAGGAGGTGGGGGGGGGGCAGGGACAAAAGGAGTGGAGAGGGGATAAAAGGAAGGGGGAGGCGGGTAAAAGGCAGAGGAAGGTGGGTAAAACAAAGGGAAGGGGGCAAAAGGAGAGGTGAAGGGGTAAGAGGCAGAGGGAGGGAGAATAAGGGGAGGGGGATTAAAAGGAAAGGAGGAGGGGTAAAAGGCAGAGGGAAGCAGGGAAAACAAGGGGAAGGGGGGCAAAAGGTGTGGGACAGGGAGAAAAGGATGGAGATAGAGAGAAGCAGCAATAGAACGAGAGACGGAAAGAAAGAGAAAGAGAGAGAGAGAGAGAGAAAAGCGGTGAGAGGCAGTGGGAGCCGCGCCGGGAGCTGCAGTCACGGCCCTCACTCAATTCTTGCCTTGGGGGCTGGGGGGATTATGGGTGGGTGGGGCCCAGAAAGCTAAAGGAGTATGAGGGGGCTGTGCTGCCCCCCCAACCCAGGAGGTGCCAGGAAGGAGCTGTGGGACCCCCAGCACTGCAGGGGATGCTCAGAGTGCAGGAGATTGACACCTGCTGGGTCAAGCCAGATCCCCATGGCTTGGGTGGGGTCAGGCTCAGCCCCAGTCTCGTTCCACCCCCAAGACCAGGGTGGTGATGGGGAGTATTGAGGGGGGCAGGGTCTGGCTGAGTTCTGCCCAGACCTGCCCTCCCAGGCTACATTCACTGGAGAAACTGAGGGGGGGGGAAGGGGGTGGGGTGCCCAGGAGGCAGGCTCAGTGGGAGAGCTGAGGCAGAACCCAGGCATCCTGGCCCCCTGGGTCTAACCAACCAGACCCCACTCACCTCCCAGAGAACCCAGGCATCTGGGCTCCCAGCAATGACTGCCCCCCCCCCCTAACTACTAGGCTCAACAGTTCACTTCAAACTTGGTTAGAACCCAGGTGTCCTGGCTTTCAGCACCCTCCCTGCTCTAACTACTGGAGCCCACTCCCCTCCATGCCATATCCCCCATGCCAGATGGAGGGCTGGATAGTGAGGGGATGGGGGGTGCACCCCTCCCCACCCCAAGTCAGGAGAGGTGCATGAGAGTGGAGGGGAGAGGAGGAAGAAGAGGAGGGGGTGGGGGCAACTTTTTCAACACTATACAACGCAGAGCCCAGCCATGATTGGCTGGTTTTTATGCCCATAAACCCCACCATGACTTGGAGGAGGCCCTGTCCCAGTCCAGACAGGGGTCCCTGTTGAGGGGGGAGCAGAGGTTAGCATGGCTCCCGGTCTGGACGAGCTGGCGGGAGGACAGAAGGGAGTAGAAAATGCCGTTCCCCACCCGCCCCCCGCCGACACGAACAGCCAGGTTTGATTCAAAGCAGCAGAGACCGAGCGCGGGGCAGCGGGGGGCAGGCCGTCCTGCCCCCCTGCCCCAGGGGGGAAGGGGGAAGAGAATTGGGGGATTGAGGTGTGGGGGGGAGCAATGGTCTCTGGACTCCGGCAGTAGCTGTGGAGAGGCTGGGGGAGAGAAAGGCATTAGTGCTGTGGGGAGAAAAAAGGGCCCACGGGGAGCAGAGAACTTGTCACCAGGGGCAGCAGAGCAAGAAGAGTGGAGCTGGGCCCAGGGCAGAGCCAGGGGGATTGCAGAGCCAACAGGGAGGGTGGGTGCAGTCCCCATCATGGCCACAGCGGGGTGGCAGCGAGCACCAATGGGACCAAGCGCAGTCCCCATGGCAGCCAGAGGGGGCAACAGAGTCATTGGGGTGGTCACCAGCTGGGGGGCAGGATTTTGGGGCACCAGTTTCCACTCCCCCCCGCCACACTTGGCATGCAGTCCCCCATGCGTGGCGAGTTCTCTGCTCAGGGCCAAGCCATTATATGCACCCATGGTGCCCAGACCAGCACAGAGCAGAATCCAGCCCCAGGAACCCAGCATCCTATTTGATCACCAGCTAGGTGCACCTCCCCCCACCCCTGCACCCTCCCAACAGCCTGCCTCTGCCCCCAGTGCTGCCAGGCACTTCACATGACTGATGATGGCTGTGTGTGAGAGGGCAGGTCTGGCGCCATGGTGGAGATGCCAGGAAGTTAGGGGGAGGGGAGCGGAGCATAGCTGCCATGAAGACACCTCCTGCTCTGGGGTGCCCACTGTCATGCTGTGACTCAGAGGTACCACCAGGGATAGAACCAGCCTCCCCCACTATCCCATTTGACCCCACTCCCCTACCATAGCTATGGAGAGAACCCAGGAGTCCTGACACTCAGCCTGCTGCCCTAGTTGCTAGACTCTACTCTTCCTCCCCAAGTGAGCACGAGAACCCAGGTGTCCTGGTGCCCAGCTGTCCCTCTCAAATCTTACTATTAATCTGTCTATTTTTCTGTACAAGGCAGGGCAGCCAGGACACCTGGATTCCACACACCTTTGCAATAGCTTTGCTGCATACCCTGAGCCAACCCCTCGATGGTCTGTCTAACCCTAGATTCCTCCCCTCCACAAATCTAGGGCCTCTGGGCCTGGTGTTCCCCACTGTAACTCAGTGTGCATCTCAAATGCATGCGCACACATGTAGGGGCCCTCCATAGCACCAAAGGTCACGGGGATGTGTCCATGAACTCCAGCCACTCTGGGTCCCCCCCTCCCACCATCCTCTGGCCTTCCCTTGCCCCTCCAGTGCCTGCCTGATTCCCAACACCTCGGCCCCCCTTGGCCCCCCCAAGTGAATGGTATGTGTTCCTGTCCATGCCTGTACACATATGTGCTCGTGGGTGCTTGAGGATCCTATATGGGTACCAATGTAGCACTGCCCATGTAGGTGTGTTTTGTGCATCCATGCGCATTTGCTGACAGATGCATGTACCCATAGCTAAGCATAAGTGTACAGATGGAGGGGTGGGGGGTACTCATATATATGGGGAAGTACGCACGTCCTTGCATGTATATATATGCCTGTACATTGCAATGCAGGCAGTTGTTCTTTGCATGTATATGTGTAAGTCTGCATGCTGCTCCCACGCACATGCATATCTATGCCAGGGTGCACACGTTTTGTGTGTATGCCTCTATCTTGTGGCATGTACAACTGTGCTGTTCACACATGCTCATGTATGTGTTCATATGTTCCTGTACCATATGAGTGCCAATGCAGCCTTGTCCATGCAAGCATAGTCTGGTGTGCATATACATCCACACTCATTTGCTGATGAGCTCACGTTGTCTATAGGCACACACATGCATGCATGTGGGGATGTTCTCATGTGTGTACAAGCATTTGTATATCCTGATGTATGTGTGTCTGCATGCTGCAATTAATGCAGGTTTTTGTGTGTGCATGTATGTGTTAACATGTGCAGGGGCTCCCATGTGTATGCATGCCTCCATCCAGATGTGTATGCTTTGTTGTGTGGCTGTATTTCCATGTTCGTGCGTGTTCACATAGCTGTGTGCATGTGGGTGCATGTGAGTGCACATGTGAATGTCTGGGATGCGTGTTATATGCAAACAGGCACAGGCCTGTATGTTTTGGTTTGCATATACCCACACGTGTGTAAGAATGCTTGCACATGAATGCATAGCATGAACACGTGTGTGTACATGCACCTTCCCACATCTAGCAGCCCAGCCCAGGGACAGGATAACAGCTCTACTACCCCTGCAAGCTAGCAGAACTCCCTTCTGGTTGGGGCAGGGCTGGCCAGGCCAGGGGTCCTTGTTCCTCTGAAGGGGGATGGATCATGGGGCTGAAGCAAAGTGGGATCTATGACTCACAGGCTGAGGGAGGAGGCCCCGTGGTCCAGGCTGGGGGTGGTGGGTGAGATGGAGAAGGTGGATGGTGCCTGGCAGGAGGAGAAACAGGGTTAACGAGGAGGGGAAGGTGGTTCCATGTGAGGTTGAAGGGGGAGGACACACCCGTGGGAGTTGGCTCAAAAATGGACAAGGAAACAATCAATTCACCGCTCCCCCACGCCCAGGGAAAGATCCAGGACCTGGCCTGGGTGAGTTTCGAACCCATGACCTCCTGGGTAGCACCTGTGGGGAAAGAAATCATTGAAATAGCACTCCCCGCCCCAAAGTCCCCAGCCCAGACACATCCACCCCAGACAGACAGAGAGAGAAAGAGAGAGAGAGAGAGAGAGAGAGATGGGAAGAATCAAGCCTGGCTATTTGGTTTGCTTTTTGGCATTCGTTTGGTTCTTAATGAAGATCAGCTCATTAACTGTCTCCGTTCATGGCCTCCAGCCCCATCAGCGGCGATTACTTACAGTCCAAGGGCCAGAATTAAAATACAAAACAAGAGCCCTGAATGCAAAGCTGGGGGTGCAGGGGGGGTGGGGGGATGTGGAATTTCTCAGCCCCCTCCTCCTCTTCCCAACAATAACGGATCAAGGGCGTGACTGCAGCTGGGCCGGGGTTTGACAGGCAGAAAACAATTCACAAGGAAATGCCGACCCCCAGGTGAGATTGGAAACAAAACCAGGAGGGAAGAACCCAAATTAATCAGAAGTCAACAGAAAAATCAACGCAAAGGCCCGTGGTGGTTAGTAACACTCAGAGCGGCTGGTTATCGGTTCAAAATAAAAGCCGGGCTTTATATATATAAAATGTATCTATATATATAAAGGGATGGGGTGGGAGGGGTTATTTATGGTTCAGTTTGCTTATTTTTAGTTCCACGGTGTCTCATTAGCACGGCACTTGGAGGGTTAAAACAGAGGCAAGGAGGAGACGGGAGGAAAGCAGAAGCATCACTGAGGAACCGAAAAGAAAGGAGAAGCAGCCATAGGCGGGGTGGGGTGGGGAAGGGGCTTTAGGAGCTCAGGAGGGCGCAGGGCAGAGCCCTGGCTTGGGAGGGTGCTTAGGCACAGGCTTAGCTTTAAGCAGGGTGTTGGGTTCTTAGGGGCCTGAAAGGCTCCTCATGTCCTGAATAACGATAAGAATAACTCAAGTCCTGCTTACTTGGATTTAAGCACGTGCTTAACTTTAAGCAGGGGGGTGTTGGGTTCTCAGGGGCCCTGCTGAAAGGCTCCTCATGGCCCCAACTGTCATCATCATAAAACAACAGCAACAGTAATAACTAATTGGGAGCTGAAGTCCTGCTGACTTGGATTTTAGCAAGTGCTTACCTTTAAGCACGTGCTTATGTTCCAAGGGGGTCCCATGGAACAGTGATATCATCATCATTATCATGGTTATTATTAAATCATTAGTGGCAATCAGTCAGCATTAATATTGCTTTTAATTATTATTAAGAATAATTAACAACAATGCTAATGATCATACTAATGATAATCATTCTTTGTGTGTGGGCTAAAATACCAACAATTTCTATCAGACAAGCATGTGCTTATAAGCCAGTAGGAGGTAATTAAAGTCTTGAGAACTGGTGGAAATAATAATAATCTTTGCCAAAATTCCATAGGTTCCACTTAGATGCAAGCATATGCTTATTTTGAGTGGAACATATTTAAAGTGCTACTGCATATTTTTATTATTATTATTACTACTACTACATGTAAAACGTGTGTAATAATAGGTTTGTACATGTGTACTACCATTGTCTTGATTTCACTTTTATGTAAGCATGAGCTTAGCTCATGCTAAGCAGTTTGTGCTTATATTCCAGTAAGACCTATTTAAAATATTGTTGCATGGTGATTGTATGATTATATTTATTACAACAACAACAACAATAATAAATGCTAAAAGCCGTTTGGTTTCAATTAGTTTTAAGCATGTGCTTTTCTTCCAGTGGAACATATTGAAAATGTTACTTCATACTGCCATCATCATCATAATCGTCACCAATATATAATACATAATAATAACCTCTCTTTGAACATTAAGTATTGTCCTCTTAATTTCAATTAGATTTAAGTATGTGCTTAGCTCTAAGTTTGTGCCTATGTTCCAAGTTAGACCTATTTAAAATGCAGTTGCATAACAACAATTCCTTGCTTGTGAACTAAAATCCTCTTTATTTCAATTAGTTTTCAGCAAGTGCTTAGCTTTAAGCATCTGCATAGGCCCCAATAAGACCTATTTAAAATGTGGTTACATATTAATTGGATGATGATGTATGCTAGCTGAATAGTAATAATAGCAATAACAACAACAACAATAATAATAGTAATAATACTAATAAATAACCCTGCTTTGAACAGGAACTGAAGCCTCTTTGGTCCCAATTGGATCAAAGTGCATACTTAGCTCTCAGCACCTGCCCATGCCCCGTCCCTCAGCCAGCTGCGTCCTGGCACCCACCTCACCCACAGGGCAGGTGCATAAATTAAGCAGGTGCTTAAGCACCTGAGCAATTGCAGCCAGTGACTTACACCCCCCTGGTGATACCCAATGCAGAGGGGCCCAACAGCTACAGAGGTTGATGCCTCTCAGAGTCCCTTCCCTTGCCCATGATTTGAGCCAATTTCCCCCATTACTGGAGTTAAAACAAACAAACAAACAAACAAACAAAAAAGGCCATTTTGGGGAGGGGGGGTCATCCTTTTTGGGGGAAAAAGCAGGAACTAAGGGGAAAATAAAAAAAAAATAAAAAAAAAAAATAATAATAATAGAGACAGAACGGAAACCAAGAGGAGAGAGAGAGCGAGGCGGTGAATGAGGTAGACTGAGGTACCCAATTGGTTGTCATGGAAACGGGGCTAGCGGAGCAGAGGACCTCGATGGAGGGATAGAAAAGACGGAGAAGTGGGCTGCCGAGATTATTTTCCCCCTGAAGGAGCTAAAAAAAGGCGCTGAGACATAAATGGTTAAAACGCACCCCCCCTTTCCCCACCTGCCAGCTTCCCCCCACTCCCCCCACACCCTCCAGCACCCTCCCCTTAGGCTTGGCCCCCTGGACCAGGACCAGGCCTGAGCATCCTTGGAGCTAAGATGGGGCAAAGAAAGAGCAGGAGGGGATGGGGGGCTGCGTTTTGCCAGGGAGGCCAATTCAGGAGGTAACAAAACCAGAGAGAGAAAATTCGGGGGGACAGGGATGAGAAAGGGGGGCAGGGGAGGAGAGAGAGGAGGGGTCCAGGAGGAGGCAAGGGGCTGGGGGAGAAGGGGAGGGACAGAGGAGAAGGGGTCACAATTAATATGGCCACAGCGATTATACAGGTGTTAGAGTAGGGTCAGTGGTAATGGTTCTGTTTACCTTTTTGTTCCACTTCTACTTTAAGCATCGGAAGAAAGAGGAAGAAAATAAAAAAAAAAAAGATAAAACAACAAAAACAACAAAAAGGGAAAAAAAAGAACAGAAGAAAAAAAATTAAGGAAAGAAAACGAGATTGAACCAACCAAAGCGAGAGAAGAGCCGGGGAGAAAACAAAGAGAGAGAGATTAGCGCGCTGCTGGGCACCCCAAGCAGCACAGCCCCGCGCCCCCTGCCCATCCCCACCCCCCATTTCACATGGGGCAGAGGCAGGAGGAGGAAGGGGGGCCCCCGCCTGGCGTGGCAGTGGAGGTAATGGGGTTGCAGGCTCCAGCCGTGCCGCCCTGGGGAAGAAAAATGTCAAAGGAGGAACGAAAAACCCGACGGGAGAGAACAAGGGGAGAGCACAGGATGGGAGAGGCACAGAGCGCAGGGGCGAGGGGGGACATGGCAAGGAGATGGAGAGAGGGAGCACAGAGAGATGGATACAGGCGGGGGAAGGAAGGAAGGGTAGATAGAGAGGGGAAGAGAGAGAGAGAGAGAGGGAGATCGGCAGATAGAGAGAGGGGAAATAGAGGGATAAGGGCTGGCTGGATCAGACAGACAGACAGATGGAGAGGATTTGTGGAGATGGGTTGATGGACAGAATGCCATAAGGGTCTGATCGTGGTATTTATGGAGGTGAATAGGTAGACATGCATGTGGATGGACAAAGGGATGTGTGAATGAATGGACAAATGGCTAAAGGGATGCCTGGGGATGGATATGGAAGAAGCGGGGGATGGATGGGAAGATGAGGTAGAGCTGTGGAGACAGACCCACATGGGGCTGGCTGGCTGGTGGGGGGGCATATACCATTGGAACAACCCCACCCTGTGCTTGGCTCTCTTTGCCTTTGTTGGTGGCAGCATCAGGGTGACATTTTTTCCCCACCCCAGAGGAACAAGCCCCCTGAACCTATGAGCACAGATACCTGGCACTACCTCTTTCCTCAAGGGCCCATAGCAGCTCTGACCCCAAGTGAAGGGGGTCACCACAGCCCCAAGGCACAATCTTGCTCAACTCTGCTCTGGAAGCCCCAGGATTTGAGGGTAATTAAAGGCCAGAGCAGGGGCACAGAACCACCAGGAACCACAGGGAAGAAGGCAAGGTCTCCTTGTGTGTTCCAGGCTATGGAGGCTTGGGTGCTGGGGACCAGTGAGGAGGGAGGAGGAAGTAGCTTTAAGGGAACTGAAGGGCTTGGGGACCACTTCTGAGCTGCTACACGCAGGCTGTTCGGGAGGGGTAGGTTTCAGTAAAGCCCAGCAGGATGGGCCCTAATGTCAGCCTGGGTGGCACCCAGCATGACAGGGTCCCGATTTTGGCGTGGGGGTCTGGCCAGTGCCTGGTGCCACAGGGTCCTGATTTTGGCCTGGGGGCCTGGGCAGTGCTTAATGCGACACCAGACAATAAGGCTAACCTATTTAACTATTTCTTTGCCTCCATTTTCCTCAACAGGGACCGGATCAGCCTGTCCGCTGGGACCCCCTCAGGCGCACCCAGGCCTAGGGTCAGTGAGCACCTAGCCAGGGAACTTCTGGAGGGACTGGACGTATTTAAATCAGCTGGTCCTGACGACCTCCACCCCAGAGTGCTGAGGGAATTAGCAGAGGTCATTGCGGGACCCCTGGCACGGCTTTATGAGCACTCGTGGTGCGCTGGTGTGGTGCCAGAGGACTAGAAAAGAGCCAATATGGTTCCCATTTTCAAAAAAGGGAGGAAGGAGGACCCAGGAAATGATAGGCCAGTTAGTCTTACCTCGATCCTGGGTAAGCTTTTTGAGAGAATTGTCTTGGCGCATGTCCGCGAGGGGCCAGCAGGGGAGATTATGCTTAGGGGTAACCAACACGGGTTCATTAGAGGCAGGTCCTGGCAGACCAACCTGGTGGCCTTCTATGACCAGGTCACAA